GTGTGTGTGTGTGTGTGTGTGTGTGTGTGTGTGTGTGTGTGTGTGTGAATAAATCTAGTTAATTATTGTATCCAGTCAGCTTGTCAAACAAGGACCTTGGGCATCCCCCAAGAAGACACAGCTGGCCCTGAACCATGGACACCAGAGGCCCAGATTCCGTCCAGCCCCTCACCCACCAAAGCTACAAGCTTTCATGTAGAAAGGGGAAAGCACCTACTTATAGCTTGTCCTCCAACAGTGGGAGTCGTAAAAAGGGGAGGAGGGAAGAGGACCAGGGAGCAGGTAGGATAAAGCGAGGCCCAAAACATATTCCAGGCCTCAGAACAGCCAACCAAGCAAGTGTGTGGTCCTGACTTTCCAGCTGTGGGCCACAGATTCGATATGAGAAGCCCACCGTCCCCCGGCTCACTGTCCAGAGATGGCAGCAGACACTCCTCGAACCAGCCCTCCAGCCATGTACCTGTGCAAGGCCCACAAGCCATGGTTTGACTCTTCACCCAAACGCAGCTGACAGAGACCACACTGGTGGACCTCCAGCGCCATCAATCCTGACATCACCTGAACTGAGGTCTACCATCTTTCCAGGACGGCCCGCAACAGAGACAGTAGGTGCTCAGTGAGGGGAGTGGCACCTTGGCGGCACCCACACCCTCAGAGGCACGCGGCATGGGGGAAATGCTGAAATAGCATCTCCGTGGGGTAGGCGGCTAACCCTGAGCCAGCTGCTGAATGCAAAACCTGTATTAAGCCAGGTCACCTTTCGGTCCACGCTTTGCTGGGCGCTTGAGACACGAGGTTCAAGCCTGTCTTTTCCAAGAGTCCCTGCACCGAGCCAGAAATGAAATTGTCCCAGAAATCAAATACTTTGCCTTTTTTTTAGGATTCTCTTTGAAAAATTGAAGTAGAATTTGAACAGTCCTGCACATTCCAGGAACGAGATGACTGTAAACAAATATATATCACTTTGGTACAAATTAGCTTATTCCTTAGAGACTGTTAGGGCTTCGGACCAACTCAGTCTACACATTCTGGGTCAGGGGTTTCCTTTGTGGGTCAAATTCTCCCACAGATATTAAAGGACAGAAATTTCATAGAGCAAAGATATAGTTGAAGAATCTTTGAGATGTTAAAGTAACGTAGCAGAAAGGAAATGTTCATTTGAGTTAATATAGCATTCCTTTTTGAGGAGAGACATATCTTTGGTAAGCAAAATATCATTTTGGGATAAAAAGTACATTATCCTCGGGGCTGAGCCAGGCTTGAGCCTTAGTGTCGGCTTATACTCACGAGACGTCTCTGCAGAGAGTGGTTTCTTGATTTTAAATAGAAGCAGAATGTTTACAAACTTCGGCATTTATAGTGCCTCTCGCAATGGAGTTGCTTCAGGAAATGAAAGGAATTAGGAGAAGAAACTGCTGGCTTCTGTGCTGTTGAGCTCAGTGCTGATAAGCGAACCTGTTACTAGTCTGCTTACCTTCACAGCCGTTTGTTTCTCTCCAGGGCGAGTTTGGCGTGATCTCAGGTTCTGAAAGGCCCATCTCTCCTGTGCATCGGCAGATGTCCCTCAGCACACCGGAGATAGCTGAAGGCTCCCACATTTTCACGTTTCTAGCACTTTTCTCTGGTGTGACTGTCCATGTTTTTGAGGGGGCTGGCCTTACATGATACTTACATGGTGCCCATGAGCACACTAGCGTGGAGTGCTCCGTAAGGGCCACTTCTCCACACATGCCAATCACAATTTATTCCAGAGTGAAATTTCTTGTTCATAACGAAGTCATTATTCTGTCTTTATCACCTGCACGGTGAAGGCAAAGGCTGGAACACCACTGACTAAGTTAACTCCTTTATATTCCTGAAGTGTGGGAATTCTTGAAGGAAGATGTCCAAGGCTGTTGTTCTTGAGGCCTTGAGAGCTCTGTCTTGGGCTTGTGGTCTCCTGAGCGCAAGAAGGCGAATGCACTTCAAGTACAGCCTCTGCATTCCTGCCCAGAGAAAGACTGTGAGGCACTATGGGATTCATCCGCTGATTTATCTGTCTTCTTTAAAGACCTTCCCCAGAAGTACCATCTGGCAACGGCAATAACTAGCTGAATAAAATGTGCACACGGCCACTGTGTCTGTAAGGACGTGAAAATGTATGCTTTGCTGATGGTGGTGCTGTTTGTTTCCTTAGTCAAGTGACTTCTTTAAGCAAAACTAGAGATCTTTGTTCTCTCTCTTTTTAGGGCTTTTTCTTTTTCAAGACAGGGTTTCTCTGTGTAGCCTTGGCTATCCTGGACTAACTTTGTAGACCAGGCTGGCCGGCCTTGACTTAATATAGATCTGTCTGTCTCTGCCTCCCAGAGTGCTGGGATTACAGGTGTGTCCCTGCACCCAGATTTTTGTTTTGTTTGGTTTGGTTTTGTTTTGTTTTGTTGAGACACGGTTTCTCTGTGTAGTTTTGGCTGTTCTGGACTCACTTTGTAGAATATGCTGGCCTCAAACTCACAGAGATCCACCTGCCTCTGCTTCCCAGAGTGCTGGAATTACAGGCGTGTGCCACCATACTTGGCAAAACTGGAGATCTTTTAGTTAAAGAAAGGATTTAAAGGGAGGGAGGGAGGGACTGGGAGGGAATGAGGGATCAGGACACGGCTGGGATACAGAGTTAATAAAATGTAACTGATAAGAAAAAAATAAAATTAAAAAAAAAAAAGAAAGGATTTAAAAATATTTGATAGGGCATCTGGCACTGACTTTCACCAAGCCGCCCATCCGAACATAGCATTGTCTCAGTTGGCCTTCCCTGATGAGACCTCACCAAGCTGGCTGCTGATGCTTTTCTGCAAAAGCTATTGGATTCTCTTGGATTTATATGAATCTTCTTTGGTTCATTTTGTAGTAAAGATATTTTCTAACTTATGTTCTTCTGGTGATTCAACAAGTTAGTGGGATTTAGAAAAAATGTATTAAAGTTGTTTCAGATCCGTCAACTGTCACGAGTGATGCCAAAAAATACTTAGCAGAAGCCAAACATTTGAACAGCTTTAAACAAGGCATTAGATAAACTATAATTATATTCAGGGAAGAACTGCTTGACGTGTGACATTAACATGCAGTCCCCCAGGCAACGGGGGGCAGATTCATTCAACAGCAAGAGAGTTCCAAGAATCGCTGGAAATTCTGCAGCACCTTTTCACTTAGTTTCCATTGACAGTTAAATTACCACTTAAACGCATTTGTTGACTAGAAATCAAATCTTCCAGTGTGGGTAAACTGGGGGTTTCTCCACAAACAGCCACTGTCTCATTGACGGAACAGGAAGGTAGAGGGAAAGGACAGATTGGATGTGTGTGGATGGTGATCAGTAGAGATACCGCTTTTCACATAGAGGTGTCCGTGGATGTCCTGGTCAGTGGGAGACATCGCTTCTCACATAGAGATGTCCGTGTATGTCCTGATCAGTGGGAGACATCGCTTCTCACATAGA